TGACTTTTCTGTTTTTCTTGCTTGTCTCCATGGAGATGTTATAACTATACTAATGTAAATATAATATACAATGTGTTTAGGCATCCTTTACATCGTTTTTCAAAGCGAATATGTTTTGTAAATTCCCCCAAAATTCAAAATTCTAATATTTAAAGCGATTTATTTATTTCGTTATTTTTTTCCATAGGGTCTTAAATAATTGACTTGTGGTGCTTTGCTTTTTTGTAGATGATGTTGTTTATGCTGAAATATGGGACTTTAAAGGTGCATGATGTAACTTTTCTTGTCTCCATGGAGATGTTATAACTATACTAATATAAATAAATATTGTTTTCAATTATTAAAGTGTTAAAGTATGTAAACAGTGTATTTAACCATATTTTACATAGTTTTTCAAAGCAAATATGTTTTGTAAATTCCCCCAAAATTCAAAATTCTAATATTTAATTTTTATTATAATGTTTAATTTTTTTCATTTCCATAATTAAATCCTTAAATCCTTAAATAATTGACTTGTGGTGCTGTGCTTTTTTGTAGAATGTTGTTGTAATGTTAAATGTGGGACTTTAAAGGTGCATTCTGTAACTTTTCTGGTTTTCCTGCTTGTTTCCATGGAGATGTTATTGCTTAGTCTGGAACATTTCACAATATATGGCAATAAAAATTTACCTATTTATTCAATCAGAGGCTGCTAAAAATATACCAATATATAATATTCATTCTTATTGTGAGCAGGGTTGCCGCTCCGTAGATCTAACTTGTAACTTGGCCTGGCGGTGATACTGCATAATCTCCATTGAGTTAAATAGGCTTAATGCCATAATGTGGAACAATCAAGGCACACTAATAACATAACCAAGGAAACAAGAAAAGTTACAGAGTAGATCTTTAACCTTAATAAACTTAAACCAGTCAATTTGAGTGTGATTTCAGTTGTGTTATAGTTGTATTTTATTTTTTATTTGCACAAAAGTCTAAGCACATTTCAACAAATTACTGAACAAGCTGTGATTTTCCAAGGTTCAAGATTTAGAATTTGGATCATTTTGAGTATTTTAAATGCGTTTAGTAAATGCAATAGAAACTAGTTTAGTAATGTTTAGTAAATGCAATAGAAACCTGGTGGAACAACATGTTGATTGTGAACTTAGTCATGGGTCTGTATCTAATGGACTGCCACAAGTACGGGCTGATTTACAATGATAGTTTTGTTTATTCGACGCACCACATCTAACCTTCTATACAATGTGATGAAGCACGGAACATTGAGAATTACACAAACTATAAGTTCACATGGACTTATAAAAGTGTTGTTATTCACTGTTGAAAATGACATACTCTGTTACTGAGGTACTGAAATCAATAGTGAGATTCTTTTCTTTGGTATGGAAAGCAAGTTTATGATGTTTGTATCATGACAAAACTAAACTGGATAGCCTTGCAACACTAAAACTCAACTGTCCACAACACTGCATCTGATTCCACCTGATTTTACTTCTAAAAATGTGAAAAACTCAATTAGTTGATTTCACTAGTTCACCATTTCACACTGCAGCTGCATCCCTACAACAAGATCTTCCTCACCTACCTTGTGCATCCTAATTATTCACCATGATGAGTTTATACGAGCTTTTCACAACTTTCAGAGGCCAGGGTTTTGCCATGGCGATGACGCCAATAACAACTAGCATGCTAGCATCCACTTCCTGATTATCGGACAATAAAACGCTTTACAATGCACACAGTGGACTTATACAATATATCTGTACTGGGGCAAGACACATTTGACTGAAATACAAGTGAAATACATGTGACAGGTGAAAAAAATCATGTCTGGTCACTAAACAATTACCAAAAATTTAAATTGAAATAATAATAAATATATATATTTTTTTTATAAAATTACCTCAGCTTATTCCTTTTTGTGGTTAAAATGTGTTTATATGCTGTAATTTATATACATTGAATTATTGAATAATATTAACCACACATTTTAAAAAATATATTATTAACAGCATTATGTACAGGACCTTTACAGTATACATTTGAGTTACTCAATTATAGAATCAGTAAATAGTAAATAAATTTGTGACTATAACAACCCAAGATCCAATTCCACGTGCTGTAAAGCTAATAACAACTAGTATGCTAACGTCCGCTCCCTGATTATCGGACAATCAAACGCTTTATAATGCACACATCAATCTATCAATCAATCAAACTTTATTTATAAAGTGCTTTTTATACAAAATGTAACTTTAGTGCTTTACAGTGATTAAAAACAATCCCACATTTCTTTCCTACCACCCACTTATCCAGCCTCCACACCTGCCCGACCCCACATAACCAAACAACACAAACACACACACATGCACACACACTCATAAACAGTCACACACACGCGCGCACACACACATGCAAACATGGTAAAATACACAAAAATTTAATTTAATTTAACCAAAATTTTAAAAATATACCATCATCTTATACATCATGAATGCATCACCTTTACGTTACTTAATTTAGAATCAATAAATAAATATGTTACTATATACATCCCAAGCTCCAGTTGCCGTCCAGCGGTGAGCAGCGTGAGCGTGTGGATGCAGGGGTTAGAGGTGGACGGATATCAGGAACTGGACAGCGCTAACTGGAACTCTTAAGGATCGGACTTTTAATCTAATGAGATATCAGCTCTGCACACGTCACGCTCGCATTGTCGACATCATCCAACTCCTTATTTGGCACTGACCAAGCCAAGCATTCAAGACCATTAATAGGATAGACAGCCAGGGGTCAAAGGTTAAATTGATCTGAATGTGACTGCAGTTAGCTGGAGGTGGTGTTGGGTTTAATTCTTTGGAAATGTTTTAGTTGCAGAATACTGAATATACCTGCATTAAAATGTGTTTTGTAATATATTCTGTTATATGATCCAATTAGAGGAATGTATTCTGAATACTTTTATGGTGATTTGCATTATATTAGTGCAAAAAAACATATTATTTAAACAGCTTTATGTCTGTTTTTTATGTTATTTAGATCACCATTAGCATCAGCATATTAATCCTGAATCATGCACTCACTTTTTTGTATTTTTCTCACTGGAACCATGCAGTTTAAAACACACCTATTATGCAAAATCAGCTTTATAGAGCTTTACCAGGTTATAATTGTATTTGGAGTGATTTGTGCATGTTTGAGTCATTTTTAATCACTTATTTTGAAAATGCAATATTGCCAGTCAACCTGGCCCATGCCCACTGCTCTGTACTTACTTCATTTTCCAATTTTATTTTCTTAATTGGTGATACACTTAGGATTCAGCAACATCACGTAGTAATTTTGGTGCAAAAAACCCCAACAACATCAATAGGAGATCCCGACTCTTTGTTGTGATAACGTTTACGATGATGTCAGACTTGCAGACTTGTTCATTTTAGATCAATATTGCGACTTAAAATGAGCAAAATATAACATAATGATCCACTGGTATCATCAATTGTAACTATATAGCCGAGACAAGCACATTATGTCTTCCTTAAAGCTTGAATTGCATTGTGGGGAAGCTGATCAAGTTCTGTTCTTAGAAAAGTTATTGTATTCTGAATAGAACCAAACTTGTACATACACGTGTTTTGGTCTCTTCTCGCCACAGTTTGAAGGTTATTTTGTGAAACTTTGTTTTTCTTCGTGCGGTCTCTCGTGTGAGTTAAAACAAAGCTAAATGCGCAGCGTGATCAGTTGCCGCACAGTAATCCTCTTAGACAGCATTACTTTAATTGAAATCGTCTCCCAATGTATGCACAAGTTATAATTACCCTCAGACGACAAACTGCACTTTTCATATAGACCATGAGACACTACTTCATTTAACTGGTCTAAATGAGGTCACAAAGCTGCTGTGTGCAACATTCAAACATGTCTATAAGCATTTAACCTCATGCATATTATTATTTTATGTTTTCTATTGATACTTTGAAGCTGAATATCAATAGAAAAATTTGTCACTTTCAACTTTTTGTTAAAAATAAAAACACCTAAACAGGATCATGAACTCTTGCACTGATCACACGCTCCTGGAAATGTGCTTTTGAAATCCATTTTTTATTTTGTCTTGAGTTTTGAGATGATTTTAAAACTTTTTGGACAGTGTTTGCTAATATGTGCTTTGCGTCTCCATGGTAACTGCTGAACACACCACCATACAGATACATTGAGAACACCCTCAGTGTGACATCACTGCAAACTATCAATTGTTCCACTTATAAACTTTATGGTGTTATAGAAATAATAGTCATTCCTCATCAGCCGGTTTCACTTCGTGGAAACAGTCTGACCTCGCAGCATTAGGATTTGTTCGCTTGTCGGTAGGCAAGTACTTTTTTTATTTAACCAATCACTGCTATTTGGTCGTGACATATGTAATACACCAAATCTCTCCAAATCCTTAGTAAAATTCACCAAACGTTCTCTTTGTTCTGGCTTTAAATCCTTGATCTCGGGAATCGTTGCCAACACAGAATGTCTGTCTTCGTCTACATCCATCTCAACCGCTTTGTTTACTGTTGTGCTGTACCACAAAACGGACCCAGACAGGAGCTTGAGTTTGACGTCATGGCTTCTGGTCTACAAATTCTGGGGTTCTTGCAAACCGTCTAGTGGATTCCAAATCCTTACCTAGTCGCTGGAGAGAAATGAAATTGAGCAGAGGCACTAGGTGGGTCTGACATGGAGACAAGCAGTGAAACCAGCACTCCAAGTTAGTGGTCAGATCTGTGGAGAGGAAACCCCTCTCGCACTAAGAATGCATGTCTTTCAAGGTATTTTAATGTATAATGAAATGAGTGCAAGATATCCTTAATGTTTTGTTGCATTCTTGTAAGCAACAACATCTCCATGGAAACAAGCACGTGCGGATCAACCACCAGAAATGTTACATGTTGCTTCTTTAATGATTGTATTTCTTGTGTGTGCAGGTAAGAATAGCACCTGCAAAAATGTCTGACCGACTCCTGGACCTTGATGAGTCTGCCACCCAAACAGGTGAAGTAACATTGATTCATAGACATTTTAACATAAGTGATGCCACTTTAGTTTTGTCTTCGATTATGATATTTTCAAAAGTTATTAATTTAGTTATAATGTTTTGACCTAAAAAGGTAATAAATATAAGCAATGCCAAATGGTTTGTTCATTTGCCATATAAACTAGTATTGAAATGGATGTATTTATATTTTTCCAGGGCCAAAGGGTGTGATCAATGACTGGCGGAGGTTTAAACTGGAGAGCATGGATAAGGAGAGTCTTCCTCCAGCCAAGAGGGAGCTGCTCCGACAGATGTCCTCCCCCGGCAAACCCAAGGACGGGGACAACATCGCAGAACAGAACAGAAAGGTACTGCTCTCTATATAATAACACATAAGAAAGGCTGTATTTATATAGACACACACATCACATCTAAACACATCACATCAAAACTGGGACTAAATGAGGGCAAGATTGGGATTAAACCACGAGTAAATCAGGACTGAACCAGGACTAGATCAGGATTGACCTTGTACTAGATCAGGACTAAACCAGAACTTGAAAGGGACCAAACCAAGTCTACAATAATCATATAAACGTGTTAAAGGTGATGTAGCTTTTCTGGTGGAGGATCTGCTATCTGTTTGTCTGAAGCTGTTGATGCTTTGCCTGGGATGCTCCACAGTATAGCTCCATGGATACAAGGCGGTCAAGTTATAGGTCAGATCTGTGGAAAAACAAGCCAGCTCACAGTAAAAAAAAAGCATGTTTTTCAAGGAGTTTGTTTGAAAATATGTAAAATAGATAGCTTTAAGTGAACATTCCAGGCAAAGCAATAACATCTCTATGGAGACAGCAGGTATTGCCTCATCAGAAAATATACATATACCATCTTTAACCCAGTAAGATGTAATTTGTGAAAAAAAAATATATATATATTGTTAAAAAATAGAACATGAATTAGTTACATGGAAGGAACAAAGTCGAAAGCATTCAGAATTCCGATGGTCAGCATTTAAACAGAACAAATTCATACTCAGGATTTTTTCTTAATACTGTGATTGATTTGCAGTCTTGTGCTGTGCTGGTTCTTAGCACAGAGGTTTCTAGCTGCAGTCTCTGGTATTCATGTATTTGCCACCAAGCCCTGCTCTGCAAAAACTAAAAATCTATTTATCTATCCAAGTTAAGTTTTACTTGAGTAAAAAAAAGTTTTATAATGAATTTGAATAAATTTTGTCCACCAATGGAACAAAGCTTTTTTTTTTTTTTTTTTTTTTTTTTTTAAAAATGTGAAAATACATCCTGCTACACTTAAGAAAAACAACAACTAATAAGAAAATAAGAAACAAAATCAAATAGTGCTTGAATTAAGAAAAACACACTCATTGGTAGATCATTTTACTTGTCAAGTTGAATCTACTCAAATAAAGTCAAATGTTCATAATTTAAGTCATTTTAACTTACTTAGATATTAGTGTGTTGTTGGCGTCCTGAGTTGACTGGGGCCTTAAGTTGCTTTCATGAGTGGAAGTACAGGAGGCGGTATTATGTAATGTGGTTATGGGCCTCAACAATTGCCAATGTACAGAACAAACAGAGCTTATTTTCCTGTGTTCAGAAGAGGTGAAGTCAGCTCAGGCCGTGTGTGACAAGACTTAACTTTAACACACAGCCCTAAATGAACTCATATTTCATTCAAAACATGCAAACAAAACATTCTTTTAGATTGCAACACTTTGGCCCTGTGGAAAAGTCATTTGGATGTTGATTTAAAGCTTGTAGTGGAAGAAGTACTACATTTGTTACTTAAGTACAGATATACACACACAAAAAGTAAAAGTGTAAGCATCAAGAGGATGTAAACATTTTGTCTCATAAATTAGTCATAACATGTTTTCTCCATGTTTGTAAATGATAATTAACTATGATAATGAGCGGGTCAGTTTTAGCAAATGATTAGTTAATGGTTAATAAACATTTCTATATGATTTGTAGGTATGCTTAAAAAAATTGCTAGAGGAGAAAGAAAGAAGTATAATGTACAGATACCTGCTCTTAAATGTAATGAAGTAAAAGTACAGGCACCTTAATTATACTTATGTACAATCTGTTCAATCCCTGTCATCCAGGTAGCAAAAGAAAGTGTTCTGTTCTGTTGACAGAAGTAAATGTGTTTTTGTTTAGTACAATGTTATTTTCCACCACTGTTTAAAGCAGAGGTCATCAAACTAAGGCCCACAGGCCGACTCTGGCCCTCCACGCCCCTTTGACCAGTCCCCCAGCCCTTCTGCCTCCCACCACTTGAACTGGTCCTATGAGTTTTTTTTAAATTACTTTTTGGCAAATAATTATACATTTGCATTTTGTATTTTGTTGCTTTTTTCAATTAAAATGTATATTTAATTGAAGTATTTATACTTAAATAATTATATGATGTATTTACATTTGCCGCAGAATTTTCGCCACCTGACAAGCCTGAGATCAGACAGTGAAAGTCAACATACACACAGAGTTCTGTAGTGCAGTTAAAGACAGCAAAAGGACTCGTGTTAAAGTACGAAAATTTGACAGAGAGTTCAGAGTTTTCAAAGAACATTGGACGACTGATTATTTTTTGTTCTGCGTAAGGAGCGTGCAGTTTGTCTGGTATGTAAAGAAAGTGTGGCAGTTTTCTAAGAATATAATCTGCATCTTCAGGGTCATACAATTCTGTTACACGGCCGACCCGACCCCATCCATCCCCATCACAGTCAGGAGCGATAATGTGGCCCCCAGAGAAAAAAGTTTGCTGACCCCTGGTTTAGGGCAACAGATCTTTAATTTTGTGTTCTTCTGTAACTCATTCTCAGTTGCTTTAACCCCTGCTGTCTCTTCACAGATGAGTGTCCAGGAGTACGAGATGCTGAAGGAGGAGGACGAAGGCTGTCTGAAGAAATACCGCAAGCGCTGTATGCAGGAGATGCATGAGAAACTGAGCATTGGACCTCGCTTTGCGGGCGTGCACGAGCTGGAGAGCGGGGATGCCTTCCTGGAGGTCATAGAGAAGGAGCACCACAGCACCCTGGTCGTGGTCCACATATACAAGCTGGGCCTCAAAACCTGCGAGGACCTCAACCACTGCCTGGACTGCCTGGCCACAGAATACCCCACCGTCAAGTTCTGCAGGATCAACGCCGTCTCCTCCGGGGCGTCTGAGCGTTTTTCCGATGACGTCCTGCCCACTCTGCTGGTTTACAAAGCCGGAGAACTCATCGGGAATTTTCTGGCCTGCACGCAGCATCTAAACCAGGAGTTTTTTGCGACGGATGTGGAAGCATTTCTCAACAGTTACGGTCTCCTGCCTGAAAAAGAGCTCCCGTGTTTGGATGATGAGGAGGAGAATGATGTTGAGTGACCGCGATTATAACTCTGGAGAGGATGACTGTAAGGGCTTTGACAGATACCAAAGACTATTGATACCTTTCAGATGATGTCGACAACATTCTTTGTGGGGGTGAAACTACACAATCTGAACATTAAGAACTGGCTTAGTTGGAACTTCTGATTTGTGCTGTCGAACAAGTCCGTCACTCACAAGCTAGCATCAACCAACAGTTTTTCAGTTGGTCTCTTTCATTATTTTTGTTGAAGATCAAACATCTCAACAGGAACATGGACACTCTTACTCATCACAGGCTCCTGAAAATGTGTTGCTTAAACCCATTTTATATTTTTTCTTGAGTTTTCAGACAGTCTAAAAACATATCAGGCTGTGTTTGTGTTCAATGTATGCGTCGTGTCACCCTGGTAACTGCTGAACATTCTTCCGTAGACATACATGAAGTCACCCCTCCCCCAGTGTGATGTCACTGCGAAGTATCAATATGACTAATATACCAGACTGTCCACTATAGTCCATTAGAATGTTTGTGTTATCCACTGTCTGATAAAACGCTCCCAAGGCTGGTTTCACTCACATGGTTTTGGCTGCTGGGGTTTCTGTGGTTGATAAAGTTCCTGGAAGTTAATAAAAAAAAAAACTATAAAATGACTGAACTAACATAACCTTATCCATGTCATTGGAGGATCTGATGGACTGAAAAAATACAGTTTACTGGCAGTTATGTGTAAGATAGATGGGAATAGGGCATCATACAATCTGAACATTGTGCTGTATTTAAACTATGACAGAAAATTGAACACATTTAAGCCACTATGTATAACTTTTTAGCCAAAAAATACACCAAGTCAGATTTTGGTTATGTTTATTGCACTGAAAACCATGCGTCTCTAAGTGGGCTTGCATCTCCATAAACCTGACTCTTCTTTGGTCTGGAAAAGGGCTTCCTTTATCTCCCATGTTTTTGTTTTTTTTCTATTTTCATGGAATCATACAGGTGACATGCTACGTCCATGAAGTTACATACTTTTTATTGTACCTTAAACCTCCTATATTACACAAAATAGATTTTTGTGTTAGCCAGAGTGTTGGAGACGTGTGGAGACACTTTTTTAAAATTCAAAATTCCATCCAGTCCTTGTCTTTGCAGAGGTCGCTGGTGCTAGGCTAGTGCATGTCAGTGGCCATAGTTAGCCTGACAAAAAAACAGTCTTTCCAACTCCACAAATTATTATTATTATTACTCCAGACTGTCGATGTAAATGTCTGTGTTGATAGAATAATGTTTGAAAAAAAACTAACCTTGTATCGCATGAATCGTCACACGTTGAGGGACTATCTTCTCATATATCAGTCCACCTCTGCCAAGCTTTCTATCAGGAAGTACAACTTGCTGCTGCTCAGACATAAATCCTTCAAATGCAAAGTTGGCTTTACTTCTAAGATTATTCTATCGACACAGACATTTACATTGACAGTCTGGCGTAATAATAGATTTGCTTCAGGTGTTTTGTGGAGTGGGTAAAACTGTTTTCAGTGGCAGGCTAACTATGGCCATTGACAAGCACTAGCCTAGCACCAGCGACCTCTGCAAATACAAGAACTGGATGGAATATTATAAAAAGTGTCTCCACATGTCTCCAACACTCTGGCTCACTAGGAAATGAGGTCCTATGTCCAAAATTCCAGACCTTTCCCTTCCCTTTAATCTATTTTATAATGTTGTTACCTCCTCAAAATCACACCTGGAGTTGTATTTTGTTTCATTCACACATGTCTGAATAACCCTTTGCTATTAGTCTTTCTACATCGCCAAAGCTCAAAATGTTCTGTTCCACCTTGTGATATCATGAATGTAGTTTTCAAGTTAACAGCTACCTTTTACTTTTTGTTCAGTAGAAACTGACAATTCCAAGGCTGAAAAGATCCAAATAACTTTAAAAGCACAATGGAGCAGTTCCTGTTTTATCACATGACATGACTCAAGGTGGAACAGAGTGTTTTCTGTTTGAGGGAAGAACTCAGCCTAAATATGCAGGGTTTCTGTGGTAAATGAAGTGTGTGAACGAAACAAAACACAACTATGGGCATGTTTTTGATTTGATCATAATAGAAAGTGGCGTAATATGGGCCTTTTAAGATACCGATCATAGTTTTGTTATCATCTAGAAACCATCTTTGTGAAACCAGTCTAATGTGGGTTTATGTAAATATGGGGGTAGTATAGATTGATGCAAAGATATAATTGTTCAAAGTCACTACACCATTCAAGACAAGAGCCAAAATCTGAAATACTGTAAATTTCCAGAACTGCAAAACAATGTTAGAAGACTTTACATATTGTATATAAGCTTTAAAGTACTCATTAAAAGAGCAGTGTGGTGGAACTTTATTTCTATTGTCTATTGCAGTGTATTTCACTTCTCTGAGCATAATTTTTGGTTAGAAAGATTCCATGGCAGACCAGGGTTGTTACCAAATTACACCATTTGGAAAGAGAATGTTGGAAATATTTTTATTCCCCTGGTGCTTGGTTCTTTCTATTTGGCAATGCTGGTTGTTTTGCTTTCTCAGAAGTTCAAAAGTTGCCCAGGAAACTTCAAAATGAAAAGAATGTGTTAATGTTAAATGCAAACTGAAATTACATTAGATTTTTGTCCTAAAACACACTTGGTAATATTGACAAAATTTACTCTTATAAACTTTAAGGGGACAGTCTGAATTTTGGACATAGGACCTCATTTCCTAGTGAGCCAGAGTGTTGGAAACGTGTGGAGACACTTTTTAAAATACTCCATCCAGTCCTTGTGTTTGCAGAGGTCGCTGGTGTTAGGCCATAGTTATCCTGCCACTAAAGTCTTACTCACTCCACAAAACACCCGAAGCAAAACAATTATAATGCCAGACTGTCGATGTAAATATCTGTGTCGATATAATCATTTTAGAAGTAAAACCAACCTTGCATTTGAAGGATTTCTGTCTGAGCAGCAGCAGTGAGTTGTACTTCCTGATCGAAAGCTTGGCAACGGCGAACTGATATATGAGAAAATAGTCCCTCAACATGCAACGATTCATGCAATGGAAGGTTAGTTTTATTTCAAACATTATTCTGTCAACACAGACATTTACATTGACAGTCTGGTGTAATAATAGATTTGCTTCAGGTGCTTTGTGGAGTCGGTAAGACTGTTTTTCATGACAGGATAACTATGGCCATTGACATGCACGAGCCTAGCACCAGTGACCTCTGCTAATAGAAGGATTAGATGGAATTTTTAAAGAAGTGTCTCCACACGTCTCCGACACTCTGGCTCACTAGGAAATGAGGTCCTATGTCCAAAATTCTGAACCGTCCCTTTAAGCTATGTTATAATACTGTTAACTCAAAAATATACCTGGAGTTATGTTTTGTTTCATTCACGCATATTTGAGTTACACTTTATTATTCAGTCTGTCTACTCCAAAGCTGAAAATGCTCTGTTCTACTTTGTAATGTCATGAAGTGGTCGTTAACAGCTACTTTTTTTCTTCAGTTCAGTAGAGATTGGCAATTCCATCAAAGAAATTACGAAAATGATGCTTGTGAAGGTGTATTGAGTTTAAAAACACAGTATTACCACATGGCACAAGTGTTTTTAGTTTGAGAGAAGAACTCAGTCTAAATATGCAGATTTTGTGTGAATGAAACAAAACACACAGGTATGTTTTTGATGTGGATACAGCATAATAATATAGATCAGAAAATAGTGTAATATGGGCGCTTTAAGGCACACTTGTGTTCCCAGGCTCTGTGGTTTAAACTCACTTTTCTATTATGCAAGTCTTGGACATACTCTTCCAGAAATGTCCAGACATTCCATTTTACATAATTTAGGTTTGGAGCCAAGCCAGACACTTAACTGGATATTCCCAAGCCCAGCCCTCTTCCCGGTTGAGCAGAGCAGCCTCATCTGGAAAAAGAATTTGTAAGAGTGAATTTTAATGAATGAAACATCTTTTTGACGTCAGTGTGCAGCAGATAAACCTCTTCTGTTTAGATTGTGTTATGAAACAACGAAAAGCACAGTAGCTCTTCATATTACTCACCAGTGTATTGACTCACAACAACAGTCATGTTTAAAATAGACGTAGTAAAGCTATTTTTAGTACTGCATTGTCACTGAGTGGTCATACACGCATGAGGGGTAAGGTTATGGTAGTTCAAATTAGAAACTTAAAATGAAATATGAAATTATTTAAAGGTTCTCTATGTAAATTTTCTAGTGGGAGTTGGGTCCGTCACCTGCTCGTTCCCATGGAGATGTTATTGCTTTGTCTGGAATTATGCTCATGTATCTTCAAGAAGACAAGCAGGTGACGCTACCAGACCAAGTTACAGGTCATATCTGTGGAGAGGGGAGCCTGCGTCTGCCACCTGCTTGTTTCAGTGCTTTGCCTGGCATTATCTCTTGCAAATTGGCGCTACTAGTTACAGGTCAGGTCTGTGGAGAGGTGACCGCCCTCACAGTTAAAATGCATGTTTTTTTAAGGTATTTTTAGTAACACACACTTCTAATAAGATGTTTAATACCATACTATGGAACTTTCCAGGCAAATCAATAACATCTCCACTGAGACAAGCAGGTGGCAGACACAGGTTCCCCTCTCCATAGTTCGGGCCTGTTACTTGATTCAGTGACATCATGTACTTGTCTTCTTGGAGAACCATCCATCCATTTTCTTCCACTTATCCGGGAAAGCAGTCTAAGCAGGGACTCCCAGACTTCCTGCACCCTGGACACTTCCTCCAGCTCCTTTGGGTCCCTGGATCCCTGGAGCTATGTTGTTGGGGGCTTCATGCCCCTGATAGGGTCACCCAAGACATACATGTCCAGAGGGACAGGTTAGACTAAGAACGGTTTAGAAGCTCCATATGATGAGCAACATTTAGAGGCTAGTGACGTTGCCTGGAATGGCATTACCGAGGCCCCACCCTAGAGCCAGGCCTGGGGTGGGTGCTCGATGGCGAGCGTCTG